GAAAGAAAGAAAGAAAGAAAGAAAGAAAGAAAGAAAGAAAGAAAGAAAGAAAGAAAGAAAGAAAGAAAGAAAGAAAGAAAGAAAAGGATCATTAGCTTGCAAATTTTGAAGGCTTTCGTGTTTTTAATTACTCTGGAATCCAGGCAGGGGGTGGGCTTCAAAAAGGAGTCTCTGCCCAGTTGCTGGGTGGGCGTGGCCATGGTGGGCATGGCCTAGCTGGCCTCCTGCATCATTGGGGGAGACATTTTTGCCCTCCCCAGGCTCCGGAGGCTTTCCTCGAGCCTCTGGGAGGGCAAAAAGGCCTCCCCGTACTCCGGAGGCTCTCTGGAAGCCAGAAACGGGCCCATTTCCAGCCTTCCCAAACTTCCAGGAGGCCATTTTTCGCCCTCCCCAACCCTCCACGTGCCCCCTACAATTACCTGCATCCAGAACTGGCCGCGTGGAGACTCCTGGGAGGGGAGGGGCAGGGTGGGTGGGGCCAGCCGGGAGTGGGATTTGGGGGTTCTCCAAACTGCACAGAATCATAGCTAGGGGCTCTCCGGAAGTCCTGAGAACCCCCAGCAACCCACCCCTGAATCAAGGGCAGAAATCTTCCAGGGTGGAGTAGAGAGCATTAATGTTTTAAATATCTCCCAGTACTGTAAATAATCGCTTCGCTCCGAAAACCATTTCCAAAGAAAATAGAGTAAAGGAAGAACAATTTTCTGAAGCTGAAAGTTCTACAAGGGATTGTACTCTGTTCTTTCCCCTTGATTGACATCTGATTTCGGGGTGAGGAGTTTGTGTGTGTGTGTGAGAGAGAGAGAGAGCAAAAAAGAAAAAATGCAACAATCGTTAAAGGTATAGATCACCATCTTGTGGCCGAAATAGTAAGTACAAAGAGAAAAACAAAATCCAGTTGGGCTTTGGAAAAGCCTCTTTGGGACAACCATGACCTGGATGACAGAGAATCTCCTGGATTCTTCCCTTGAAGACTTTTCATTCCAAACTAGGTAATATCATTATAAGAAGACACCAAGAATTTAGGTGAGTTTGGTAAAGTAATTTCCTGCCAACTTTCACATCCAGGATTAGGAAACTACTCATGTGTTATTTATTTTATTTTATTATTTTATTTTATTTTATTATTTATTTTATTTTATTATTTTATTTTATTATTTTATTTTATTATTTTATTATTTTTTATTTTATTTTATTTTATTATTTATTTTATTATTTTATTTTATTTTATTTTATTTTATTATTTTATTTTATTTTATTTTATTATTTATTGATTTTATATATTGCCGCCTATTCGCCATGGAGACTCGAGGCGGCTTACAGAATGTAAAATCATACTTTTTAAAACAAAAAAACCCAATAAAAACTAACAAAAAGAATCAAATAATTTAATAAAGTACAATAGAACAAAATCTGGAAATAAAGAAATAAATCACACATACCCCAACTCCCGCCCACCCCAGGCCCGCTGGCAGAACCAGGTCTTCAGTGCCTCCCGGAAGAGTATTAGAGAGGGGGGCATTCTAATCTCTGTGGGGAATGAATGTTATGAAGAGCTTACTCACAAAATACTCTGTGTGTGTGTGTGTGTGTATTTGGTTGTTCATTTGGAAACGGGCTGATGGGAGAGACTGATGTGTGCGTGTGTGAAGACCCAGTGTGTACAAAATGGTTGATGAATGTAATGAGACAGGTGGGATACAAAAATCCCAGCAACCGGTTTGCTACCTGGTTGCTGGGTGGGCGTGGCCATGGTGAGCGTGGCCTACTAGAACTTCTGGGAGGGCCATTTTTTACCTTCCCAAGGGTCCGGAGGTTTCCCCCAGCCTCCGGGAGGGTGAAAACAGCCTCCTTGGGCTCCGGAGGACCTCCGGAAGCTGGAAACAGGCCCATTTCTGGACTTCTGGTACTTCCAGAAGGTCCATTTCCCCCCTTTCAGAGGCTCCACGTGGACCCCGCACTTACCTGCATCACGTGGACACTTCTGGGAGGGGTGGGATGGGCAGGGCCAGCCGGTTGGGTGAAAAACCAGTTCGGTGAATCAGATGACAACTTAACATCCGATTCACCCGAACCGATCCAAACCCGTAGAATCCCACCCCTGGATAGGACATTGCAGGCATCTAAAAACGTTTTAAAAAGGGAATGTGATGTATCAAACATTTGGTAATCCCTGCATTTAATCTACTGAAATAACTTTTTCACACAAGGGATGATGACCCTCACTTTCCCAAAAGACCCCTCTAGCGCTGGATATCTCCACATAACAATCTCGGGAACAATATGAAACGGAGTCATTATTATTACGATGAATAACAATAAAATGTGGAGTTATTGTTTGTTGCTGCAATATTTCATCGACCTATCTGCCTCTACCACACAGCAAGAGTCCTACAATTGCTTGTTAATCTGATTTCCAGGTCAAAAATGAAACTGAATTTGGTATTTATTCATATTGGATTCATTCCAGGAACTTCATACAAAAACAGCCATGCTGTAATGTGACTTAATATGCTGTTTTGAATCGATGAAGAGACAACCACATATGCATTATGTAACTCTTGGTCAAAACTTCCTGTTGTTGCAGACAGCTTTCCAGAAATATTCACAAGCTTATATTCTCAGATTTACCTGTAGAGGGCCATGAGACGAGAAATACTCAGAAGCCATTACTCCTCTCACCCCACACACAAAAAAGTGGGAGCAGAGACGTGGCTTGAGACCCGGGAAAAGAAATAGTGCTAGGAAGAGACTCAAAGTGACTCTTCCCTAACTCAGTGAGGTATAAATGAGAAGGAGGAAGAGTACAATCAAATTTCCAGGAACCTGTTTATACAACAGATCTTAATCAAGCCTTGGAGGCTAAAACATATGAAGAAGGGTTGCAGGAATGGGGTATTTTAGTTGAATGAAATGAAGGACTAGGGGTGATATGACAGCGCTGTTCTAATATCTATGGGGCTGCCACAAAGAAGAGGGAGTCAAGCTATTCTCCAAAGCACTTGAAGGCAGAACTAGAAGCGATGGGTGGAAACTCACCAAGGAGAGAGAAGCAACCAAGAAAAAAATGGAGAAATTTCCTGACAGTGAAAATAATTAATCAGTGGAACGGCTTGCCTTCAGGAGTTATGGGTGCTCCATCTAGGGGAGCTTTTAAGAAGATTTTGGACAGCCATGTGGTATGGTATCTCCTGTTGAACATGGGTTGGACTAGAAGACTTCCAAGGTCCCTTCCAACTCTGTTATTCTGTTAGTCTTCTTGTGGAGTCAGTTTCCTGTTCTGGACAACCTGAAAGTGCTGATATGACTGGATGGAAACTTCTAGACAGTCCTAAACAGAAGTTGGAGACACTCTGACACTCTCTAGATGAGGATCTGAAGAAATCTGAACTAAATCAATTCTGAACAAAATTTGTGGAGATTCCTTAGATTTAGGCAGATCCATCTTCCTTAGTAGCTGGTATCAAGAATTATTTTTTGTGCTGGTGGTAATATTTCATGAGTTACAATCTTGTGGAAGTATCACTTGGAACGGAACATGTCCAAATTTATTTAGATGGTTTCATACCTCAAATCTGCCTGAATTGAAGGTGTTTGAAGCATCAGTTCAAATTGATTTAGACATCCAAGTCTAGTTTTCCAAAACAGTTCCAAAGTTCAGAGAGGACTTGTTTCTTTTGCCCCAAACACTTTTCTTCCTGAAAGTTATTGAAAAAAAAAAAAAGTTCTATCTACATGTTAAATATTACATTGTCTCTGCCTGATTTCCTGAGTGAACTTCTGCCACCAGCAGAAGATCTATTGTTTGGCAAAGCCTTCTCAGCTCAGATTGCTGTATCTTGTGGTTACAAAAACGACTATAACCAGGTGTCCATTCAGGCTTTGTATCTTTTCAAACACCGCAACACTTCATTGTGTGACAGAATTCTTGCCTATAAGCCTTATTTCTGTAACCACAGTAAATGCAAAATTTTCTTCTTCTTAACTTCCTGCAAAGAGAACCTTGTTCAGACAGTTGCAATAACAAGATCCAATCAACGGTCTTTCTTTTCCTCTCTGAGTCACTCTCCAAAAGAGAACCAAGCAAGTATTTGCTATCCAAAGGTTACTTTTTCTACACCCTTCGCTTTTGCTGATACTCCAGATGAGGTAAGATTTTCAGAATTTGAAGTGTGGAATTCCAGACAGGGTAGATTTTAATCCCTCCCCATCTGCAGTCTTGAAAGAATGTTCCTCTTTAGTTAGGCAAAAAAAAAATGTAATAAAGATCTTGTTTTCATACGATCAAGTTGGTCTCTACCTAATGACTGTGCTTGGGAAAGTTGGAAGTGAGCAAATATACCAGTTTATGCCTCTCCTGAAAATTTGGGGAGATTATCACTGGAGAAACACAATGAGCGAAACTGCTGTTTGACTGAGATACAAAAGGATAAAAATATAGAAGAGAGAATCTGGTTTCTAGAGTCCAGTGGAACAGGGGAGGTTTGTTTGTTTGTTTGTTTTAATAGAAAAGGCCTGTTTCTGAAGTCCAACTGACAACACTTAAGGAAAGAGACCTGGAGCATGTCCATCTTAGCTGGGAGAAGCAGTCCTCCAAATAAGCTGATCCTGAACCATGTAGGGCAGTGTTTCTTGGCAGTTTGAAGAAAAGTGGACTTCAACTCCCAGAATGGGGAATTCTGGGAGTTGAAGTCCATCTGCACACCTTCAAACTGCCAAGGCTGAGAAACACTGGTATAGGTCTTTAAAGATTATTAACGACTTGAATTCCACCCAGAAATAAATTAGGAGCCGGTGCAGCTCATGCAACAACGGTGTAATATGGACAAACCAAGGGGCACTCATCACTGCATGAGCTACCGCATTCTGGACCACTTCTAGCCCCATATAGTGCAGATTGTAATAATCCCACTAGGAAATGGGCAAGGGTTGACTGTGAGCAGGGCCTGCCAGTCCAGGAATGGGTGCCATTGGCACACAAGATACACTTGGGCAAAGATACAGCCACCACCCACAGCGGTCCCCACTTCTTGAGAAGAACCGGTGCATCAAGAAGTCCAGGGTTGTTTTTTTTTTTTTGGAATGGATGCTCACCAGGATTGTGCTTTGCATTTCAATTGCATAAATAAGGAAAACTTATTTATCAGGCCACCGAAAGAAGGCGTATCGCATGTGGCACAAAATTGGTTTTGTCCAAAAGCTGCATTCAGATCTTGCTGTATTGCAAATCAGCGACCTGCAAAAGTTACATGCACTTTTGACTAACATGAACTCTCTAAGAAGCACAGGATTTGTATAGATTAAAAGATTTGTATAGCCACAGAGCCTCTCAATAAAGACCAGATACCACAACAAAGAGGTGATACGCTATGGTAGCCTTTCCAATATCAGCTCAAATCTCTTCTGGGTATAATAGCTACATAGATAGTTTATTAACTGATTGGTCTTATGACCATATCAAAAAATATAAAACAAAACACAGGGTCTAATTTCAGGGTAAGATAGATAATAGTATTCTTGGCAGAGGTGGAGACTGGGCATCACATACTTCTTCAATGTTTCTTTTTACAATCGCACTGGGGATTCTTCTGGGGAAACACTGGGGAAACACACGTCAAACCTGCCATAGCTGTTTAATACAGCAAATGTGGCAAACTCTTTGCACTGCTTATTCCTTTTCCTTTTAGTAATAAATCAACTATGGGCCACGCAATTTATGGGCTGTAATTTTAGTATAGTTAGACCATGTATAATTGACAGACTGGATTTTATCATAGATTTTATTGCTATTTATTATTTCACTCTAGAATTTTTAATTGTGTATTTATCGAGTGTTTTTATTTGTTCTGGTCTCTGGTCCATGTCTATAATAAATTGAACTGAACTGAATTGAATTCTGGGCAATAGAAATATTAGAATGTTGGCAATAAAGCCTTATACAAATTTTGAGAATACTTCCTTATTCAGACCACCCAAAAGGAATTTCAAAAGTTTATGGATTATTATTGTAATTTAAAATAGGAGAGTTATCAGATGGAAGCTTGGGGTATTGATCTTGGTACAGGAGAAAAAAAATGGCAGCGCTTACAGAAACCAGATTCACTTCTTCACTTCAGTTTCAGTACAAGAAGTGAAGTGGAAAATTAAACATAGATGGTATTTGACTCCTGTTAGGCTGGCTTATATATATTAAAATTATTCTCCCAAATACTAGAGAGGTTTTCTAAAGCAGCGGTCACCAACCGGTGGGCCGCGGCACATTCGTGGGCCATGAGAAAATTTTGGTGTGCCGCAGAGAAATCTCACCCCCAGAGCACCCCCACAAAGCAATTAATCCAGGCTGTGCAGAAACATAAGGCTGCACCGCCCACATGGCCAGCGGGAATCCTCCTCACTCACTCCTTACCTGGTAAACTTGCCTGCTAAATTGCTATTTTTCCTTTTTCCGACCATCATCTGTTCTGCTTTTCTGGGAGACTTAGATTAGCTAGGAAGCAGGAAATGGTTGGATTTCTTGCTTTCTAGCTAGTCTTTAGATCTTCAGCACAGCACAGCCGAACCTCCCTTAGGACTGAAGGCTTTGCTTGCAAGCAAATTCAGTGCAGATTCACAGCAAGTAAATTTGAGAGATTGAGCTAGCCGATGGCAGATAGATAGATCACTAAATGATTCTGTGAGCAACTCAATCTGCCTGCTTTGCCTGATTTGGGGTAAAAGTTGCTCTTTTTTAAAATAAAAAATTCAATATTTACATGCATGGTGTGTTGTGAGTTAATTTTGTGAGTTTGCTTGCAAGCAAATTTTATGTGACGGACTGAGCTAGCCAATAGCAGATAGATCTCTGAATGAATCTGTGATTCTGTGAGGAACTCAATCTGCCTATTTTCCTGATTTTGGGTAAAAGTTGCTCTGTTTTATAAAAAAAAACAATATTTATATAAATATTTATAATATTTACATACAACCCATGCCTAGCCAGTCACATGACCACCAAGCCATACCCACAAATTAGGCCACACCCACAGAATCGGTTAGTGGTCCCTGGGATCTAAATTATGAGCTTGGTGGTCCTTGAGGTCCAAAAGGTTGGAGACCCCTGCTCTGTAGCACAGGGAGGGTGAAAATGCCCCCCTGCACCATGGTGCAGGAGGCTGGCTAGGCCATGCCCATCATGGCCACGCTCACCCAGCAACCTGGCAGAGAACCCTTTGCTAAAAATTTTGAAGCTGACCCCTTGATGTTTCCAATTATCTCCTTCTTGGGGCTGAGAGAAAGTGACTGGCTCAAGGCTTTGTTTCTAACGAAGGACTAGAATTCACCTTCTCCCAATTTCTAGCCATCATATTACAAACTGTCTTTTTAACCTAATAGCAATAGATTATAATTCAGTACGCTCTTTAAATATGGTAACGTTTATATGTATAGTACCCCTCTCTTTGTTTAGGTTGTAGTAGACCTTTTATATACTTTTTATTTTTCTTCACTATATGTATCTTGGGTTCATGTTAATGTAGTTGCCTGACAATGTGCGAAATAAAACTAAAAAAGTTACACACACACATCGCATCATTGCTCTAATGTCCTTCCTTATAAGGCATGAACTGGTCTAAAGAGAGTTTTTGAAATTAAGGTGCAACTTCAGTTTCTTGTTTGTTCCTGTTCTGGAAACCAAGCATCCTTTGGGTGCATGTCCTGCCTGTAAGTCACATCTTATGAAAAAATCTCTGTAGGTTGTTTGTGAGATAAGGCCACCGCTGCCTGCATGCTGCTCAAGGAGAAATAGTCCCAGATTAACACAAAACCAACAAACAAGCAACAAACAATACCTCAATCAAGGAACTACCATTGCAGACAAACAAGCTAACAGTAAATAATAGCCAAATCAAGAAGCCACTAAGAATACTGCCACCAACAACAGGGAAAGCCACTAGTATACAAAGAGAAAGCAAGCCCACTACCTTCTAGCACTGATGATGATACCTAGTTGGGTAATGAAATATCTGCAAGAAAACAACCAAACTCAGAGAGCACCAAGACCACACAGCCATTGTCGGCATTCTCTCCTCCTCCTCCTCCTTGCAGACTCCATTCTCTTCCAGCATTGATGCTGTTACCTAGTTGGTAATAAAATGTCTGCAAGCAAATAACCAAGCTCAGAGAACATCACGTTTCCTGAGCTACAAGTATTCTCTTCGATTAAGCTCTTAGCTGTATAATAGAGCTTGCATTCAGCCAGCTATCCGTTAGAGCCAGCTTAAAAAGAAACTCAAGCAGAATACATTTGTGGTCAATGACAATCTTGAGTGTATTCATTATAATTTAATGCTCCAGGGAGATAGAAATCACAGAAGCTCTTTCACCAATGTGCAGTAAGAATCATTTTCCCCAGAGGGATCATTATGTAAAGCAGAAGATGGAAATTTGATTTTTATTGACTTCCCGCCTGAATGATGAAGTTGAAGCTGCTGCCTTCATAAGAATTAATTTGCAAAGATGGTAAACAGGAAACTCATGAATGGTATGCAAGAGCAATTTAAGAACTGCATGAACAAACAGTTAGGTGGAAGGAGAGTTACAATAATTTACAGGCTGGGCAAAATGGCTCCACCATTCTCAAGCTCTTTCTTTTTGAAAGAACTTTATTAAAATTACCAGGGTTTTTCAAGAAAGTATGCTTTCCATAGGTTAGGCTAATAGGGTAGGTGGCTAGTGTGCAGAAACGGAAAAATTGTAATAAAAACCAGTGCCCAAAGATGCCCGCTTCACTTACATGACATCTTGAGAGTTTAAAAATATTCATGAAATTGTCAACGACAATTCCAAATTTCGAGAAGGAGAAAATAAAAACCACAACCTGCAGGAACTTTTCGTGCAATTAAGCTCTGCAAGAAATTCTTTTTGCTTGCAAATCCCATGAAGATTTTGTACTGGAGATAGAAAAGAAATGAATTCTTGATGCTGGGTTTTGCTGATTCATAGAGATTGTTGTCATAGAAATGACTAGTATTTGTTTTTTTTAAAAAATTCAAGTATAGAATAGAATGTAGAATCACAGAGCTGGAAGGGACTTTGGAGGTCTTCTAGTCGAACCCGCTGCTTAGGCAGTATTTTGTTAGGTTATCAAAATATAAAGCACAGAAATACAACAAAAACAAAAATCAGTGGGAAAAGAGGAAGATGAAAAAGTACAATATAGGTTAAAGAGGAGAAGAAAAAGAAAAGTATTAATTTCCTATTCCTTTCGATGCAATAGAATACGGCAATAACATACAACCTTGGCTTTTTTAACCTTTACATAGTAATATATACTAGCCATTTCTATAACAACAAACCCATCCAATTAGCAAAATCCAAAATCAAAGTTTCATTTTTTTCCCACCCCAAGCATAAAGTCCAAAAGTGGTTTCCGATTAGACACAGAAATGGCTAGTAT